GTCAAATCGAGCGAGAATCGGAAAGGTGAGAAACACATTCATCAACCTGAAACCAATCTGGAAATCTTCGTCACTAAACTCAGTATCAACAACAAAATGCGGATCTTCAATACAAACATCAAGTGACTTCTATACGGATCAGAAACTTGGCGGGTCGGTCACAAAGAATATTTCCAACAGGCTATTGCAGACCTTTATCAACAACTGTTTTCGCTCTATACTGAAGATCAAATGGCCGGGCTGGAAAGAATCACCAACAAGAAACTACGGGAACAAACAAAACAAGAACCAATCGCCAACCAGCAAATATGCAGGAGAAAGTGGAGACGGATTGGACACTCGCTGAAGAGACCACTGGGTGACATCGCGCGCGCGTCAGGCCATTTCTCGAGTTGAACGCGAAAGGGACGCGGCGAGTGGGTCATCGGTGCAACGGTGACACGGAGGAGATCGTGTGAAGAGGAGTTGAAACAGTATGGACTGACAAGGGTTTCAGGTGAAAAGTACAGCAGAAGACAGAAGCAAGTGGATACGTGCAGTTGAAGCCCTACGTTACACTAGGAACCCAAGGGAACAATGATAATAATTACTATTATTATCATAAGCAGAAATGTGAAGGAAGAGGGTGCGAAGATCGAAAACCCTAATGACCTAGTGGATATAGGAAACTACAGAGTGAATGCATCTGCACCATCAACAGTCTCCAACCCTTGTTTCCTTACCTAGTAAATCGTTTAATTACTATCAAGATTTTAGCTCCATCGTATGTGAACCATACTAGCGGAATAATCAGAAATATATCACATAAAGCCGTTTATTTTTCACGATCATATAACCAACAGTGGGACAGTGAAATGCCAAGTACAGCTTATCCCATCTCACTGATAATCTTATATTCTCTTTGCACCAGATATGGAGCAAGTGAGAAAATGCTAAATGAACCTTTTCTACCTGTGCCGAGATTGTGTCACCAGGCACTTCATAACAGTTGAGACAAATTCCTAGACACATGAAACGCCTACCGCATCTGACAAATCTACTTCTTAACTTTATAATAAAAATTTAACATTGCCCACGATGCCAGATTGTACTTATTATAATTACAAACGAAAAAAGGGAGGTTTACAAGTCTCATTTTAAAGACTGAACCTATAACTATTTGAATTGGACGCTATGATGAAATTAATTCCCCCAGGATTAGTGCTAATCTTTTTTTAATAGGAGAGATTTATCCGTATTCATTGTTCAACCGACCTTAGGGACTACCCAAATGGATAGTGTTATTTCTAATAATTAAGTATAATGCGATTCAGTAACCTCAGGGGGACTTTAAATCGTTAAACCTTGCAAAATTCTACTGGTAACGTACAGGTTGTTATCACAACAACAATCAACACTAATCTGTGTAAAAGAAGAGGAATTCAGTGAAGAGTTACTCTTTCCATCAATATCATTCTCAAACTGAATAATCACACTTTTATAATAAATTTTCATTGTAACAAAGGGAATATTTCCAAAGGTGTATCACTAGGATTTCGAGTTTTAAAGGTAACAATCAAAAGATTCCAAAGTACTTTATACAGAAACATCGATGAGGCAGAGACTTTAGCAAAACCAAGTAACTAAACTGAGTGATGTAACATAGTTGATAGGATTGAGTAAAGTTCAGTTAAAATTTGAGAAAGGTCAAGATCGGTTTCATAAGAAGTAGAAGTCTTACGGTAGAAAAGGAGAAAAATTACGCACCAAATTTTTGGACAAATTAAGTCTGCTGTAAGTTCATCGACTAAACAAATGTCTTCTGAATATCCAGTTCAGGATTTAAGAAATTAGAATCTCGATCAGCTACTGGAGGACTTACAATGGAATTTATTCGTCCAAACACTTGTCGCGTAATTTTTTTCTTCTTTCCCACTATTACACATCTACTTCTTATGACACTGATCTTAACCCTTCACCAATTTTAAATGAATTCTACTCAATCCTATCAACTATGTTGTGTCACTCAATTTAGTCACCTGGCTTTGCTACAGTCTCTACCTCATCAATGTTTCTCTATTAAGCAATTTGATATATTTTGATTGTTAACTCTAAAACTTGAAATTATAATGACACACTTTTGGAAATATTCCCTTTGTTACAATGAAAATTTATTATAAAAGTGTGATTATCAGTTTGAGAATGATATTGACGGAAAGAGTAACTCTTCACTGAATGCTTCCTACATAGTGAGAAAAGGCAGTGACCAATAAATAGACAGTTATGAAGTACATTCGATGAGTTCATGTAAAATCTTATCTCGTTCGAACACCATTAACTTAGCAAATACGATAATGCCACACTGAATTTAAAAACTAATAATTTGCGATTCATAAGGAGGTTTTTAGCTAGAGTGACCTTAATAGTAGTATATACTCACAAATTCACTATAGGTTAGCCAATACTTTCATGGAGAAAATGAACACATCTCGACAGCAGTTTTCATTTCATCTCATTTTCTACCCGGTTAAAGCTTATTGTTCACTACACGCACCTAACTAAATAAATCTCAGCTCAGACTTTAAGACAATAATTCTTAAAGCTTCTGCAGTTCGAAATGTTATCTGTACATTTTTTTCTTCAAAAGATTCCTCCACATTTCGAAGATAACATTAAAAAGTGGTAGCGTGTGCCCCAAAGTAAAATAAAATAAATTAGAGGATTTCATCATGAGCTGACATCGGTTAGAGAACCATTGGAAAACCTGGGAATACTGGACAGCTGTTTCCTTAATCCTAGTTTGGGACTCCTCATCAGTACGCACCCACCGGGGTTCGAACCCAGGACCTTCTGGTTACAAGGCGAGCTCCCGGCCGATAACTGCTACCTTGCCGTGGTGGTCGGGCTTGAATACCGCAATGACCCAACAAGCTTAATTGACTGGGACTCATGCCCCTGCAGGTCTTATTATATCAGGAAGGTTGTTTGGATAGCGGTTAAACTAAAAGCAGTTACCATGGGGTATATCGGCTCCAGTATCCAATCGGATCGAATGGTGTATGAACCCATATGGGTCACCGGAAACCATGGGAATGCAGCTATTGACGCTGCTCCGCTGCCTTCCGGATAAGACTCCAAGTCAAAGGCTCGGGGTGGTCCCTTAAGAAAACCACCTGCTTCGGTCTGGGCGCCCGGGTAGTATCTCAGCCCTCACGCAATAAATCAAATGAAGCAACAGCTCAAATCGATGGCTCAAAACGTTATCGGATATGGCCAAGAATCGTAATCAATGGCTAACGTGTTGCGATTTCCTTCTTTATTCCCTACCCGATGATAGTTAACGAATACTGTTTGAACTTGTTAAGCATGACTGTTTTCCTTCCAGATGAAGTTTGTTATCCGCTCTCTACTTATATATATTTTTTTTCTTTTGATCTATGTTGCTTTATTATTATTGTGTGGTGCATTCTTCTTAGTGCCATATTGTACCAAGATCTTAAGCGTTTAAATAAATAAATAACAAGGCGAGCTCGTATATCATTAAGCCACTGGGACCTGATCCAATTGCCCATAAATTCTAACTTCTGCCAATTCACGATATATATATATAGAGAGAGAGAGGGTCCTGGGTTCGAACCCTGGCGGTGGGTGCGTACTGATGAAGAGTCCCGAACTAAGACTAAGGACACAGCTCTCCAGTACTCGCAGGTTTTCCAATGGTTTTCTAACTAATGTCAGCTCATGATGAAATCCTGTAACCAATCAATCAAATCCCTACAAACCAATACTTGAAAGTGTCACTACACAAAATGCCTGTGACTCAGTCATAAACCACTGCTTCACAATGTCTGTCTGTCTCTGTCTGTTTTCGACATAGAACTTTGCACAAATGTGCGGAAGTTCAAGTCGCCACATTCCGTGTAGCACGCGAAGCAAGAGAAGAAAGTACAAGAAAAGCATAATAGAAACAGTGAGCAGAGGTGTGAGACAAAGGGGTAATAAAGAAATACAAAACAATTTAATTGAAGATCATAAGTCACAGGGAGTGGATGCATCTGCGCCACTGAAAACGATTTTGAGCCATGTCACCAATTGTTTCCAACCATAGATTTTTGCCGTCCCGAGGACCCCAGCCTGGAAGTCTACACCTTCCTACGTGGCTAAGACCAACTGTTGTGGATTTCATTGACTGATGCCAAGTTTTTGTTTGACCGCCGCTAGTTTTTTTCCAGCCTGACCCTATATCCGCTAACATAGCTCGTCGAGGGAGGCGATGACTTGGCATACGTAACACATGTCCTAACCATCTCAGTCGATGAAGCTTTACAATGAACTTTAACGTATTACTGTAACTCATCATTTATGTTAAAATCACTGATCAAATACATACACTGAAATAGACTATTTTTAAACTAAGTTTTCATTAGTTTAGAAGGCGCATGAGAACTACATCTAACGATTTATCATTGAGACAACAACTAAAAGTGCTCACACATACATTACAGCCTAGCAATCAAAGACATTAGTTAACTGAGGACATGGGAATAATCTCTCAGGCATTTTCCAGCTTCTTGGATGTCCAAAAACTTCCTCTTTTAAAACTAATCAAAAACCTACTGATATTTAGCAAGTGGGTGGAAATTTCGCTATTTAAATGCTGAGACATTAAGAGGTCAGTGAGGGATACACTTAATGAGTCCATACTTGAACAAAACACAAAAGCTTCACAAAATTTGGTGGTGTGAGGAATTGAAATCAAGTAATGAATCTTAAAAAAAGCATTATAGGTAGTAATTGATGTGACAATAGTAATCTACTACACCTCTCTATTTTTCTCAACAAGTACAATAGCCCGTACAGATTCACTCTCCTGTCGGTCTATATAACAATCTAAAAAGTAGATGGATATTTAACGTTTATCTAATAGGGATAAAAGTTATCTTACACTTTGTTTTTTTTAATGCCGCTACTAAATATAGTTTATGAAAATAATAGCACGCAAAATAAGTAGAGCAACCCACCTAAATCTTCCACGAACTCTTGGATTTCATCATCCTTCGTTATCATATCAGAGTGATCAGAAAACATAGGTTCCGAAGAACAGTTAGTTCGTAATAAACTATCGCCCATCAAATCTAATCTACCTGATTTTTCTGATGGTAGTGTGACATTGGGTTGGATAAAATTACTGGTATCAGTGTAAGCAGAAGTGCCTGTACTTTCCGAACGTTCACCTTGATAATACTGTGAGACAAAGGATGGAGCAAACTGAACACCCTTCACCTGTCTAGGAGTTTGTTGTAACAATATTCTTTGATTTCTTGAAGAACCCGATATGCGCTGAAACGCTAATAAACGTTTGACATTATCAGTTCTTCGTTCATCAGAGATCCAACCATGAAAACCATTCCGGCGCAACTCATTTTTAGCTGCCTCATAGTCCGTTTCTTGTGGATTATTCTTTAGACTATACATATTTATCGGCATGTCGTTTCTAGAAGACATTACGGGTACAGTGTCATTTGGCACAAAAGAAAGAGATGAATTAGATCCGATGCGTTGTTTTCGTATACAGACTGTTGGTATTTTACCACTAACTTTGCATTTTCCTGCTGACAGGGGAATCGGATTAATTATTTTTGTACTATTTACATTAAGAACAGTTGGAGGAAAACCACTGTGATCAGAAACAGGATGCTGGTCAAATGGACCAGCACCACTGCCGGAACTAGAATGAGAAGAACGGGAGACTGGACGGTTTGGAAACTCAGGACGGAAGTGACCAAAACTGAGTGTTGTGTCATCAGACACATTGGATGGGCTTGAACTAGGAAGATGAGGAGACAAGGAAGGAGTGGGTGGATAGGAAGAACAACGAAGGGCAGATTGTGTTTGAGACCCAATACCAGAATCATTAGAGTGATTTAAACCTGAGTGGCACTCAAATATGTCTTTTGCTGAAGTGCCACTCTCCTCAAATTGACTCCTTTGAGAAAGGTCGCCGAAGCTACTGGAACTACATTGCTCCCTTGAATAAACAACAGACCAGATTGATCGATCACTGAGCCTTTTTTCTGCAGGTACTTTAACAGTCTTCTTCGGTAACTCGTCACCCTGAAGTATTCTTCCATCAGATTTCGCCAATTTTAGCAGCACTGGTTCTCTGAGTTCCTCATGACGTTCAACTATGTTATTTTCCAATTCTCGAACCCCATCGTATAATATATGCATCTTTCCTGCTTTACTAGAGCTGAGAGCAGCATCTAGTGAATTATTTACAGTACGCTTAGAACGCTTAAGAGGTGCGACTTTAGTGCGTTTGGGAGTACGATCCTTTTGAGAATCAATTTCAGCCTGATCTTCACACCATGAAACAGCTTCATATGGTAATATAGCGGAAGCTGACTTTGATGACTCCGCGTGCCGATCACCTAGGGGTAGTCAACAGAGAATAAAAGAGTAACAAACCATAATGCGTCGAAATACTCTCCGGTAGAAGTATTACATTACAAATTCCACATTTAACAAGATAATCAATGGTTGTGAATTGGCTTTTGAGGAATGGGAAACCTAAATAAGCGTGAGTTTATCTTTAAAAACTCACCGTTGAGCTTGATACTGTTAAAGCAACTAGAGGGCTCATCTGTAAGTAATCACATTAATAATACAATAAAAAACTGACTAATTTTGTCATCATATTGATCAGGACCGAAATTCTCCCATGGATTTTTTACGTCTAATTTTTTGCTTATAAAATATTTATAACCTACCCATTATGTATATCTACAAACAGATACCCTCTAATAATACACATTCATTGCATATGACCATATGTATAAAAATAAATCATCTCTGTATACACTATCGATTCATTATGACGAATTTTCTAGTCTTTCCGTAACACAATCTGCCGTCTACTACACAAACAAAAGAATTCAAGGACGATAGTAGCCAAATGAACACAAAACACTCATACGCAACTTTTTTGTCATGCGCGCTAAAACTGAACAAAGTCAAACAAACGAGCACAATCTTTTACGGATATTTTGTTAAATTCTCTGTATTTCATAAACTCTGACGGTGCGGTGATCTTAATACTTTGTTGGCACCCAATATCCTACAGGTCTGTGACTATCTAGTGCTGAAATTTTGGTCATCAGGTCATCGTTTTCTACTGACAAGAAAAGATTACAGGACATAATAATACATTGAATCTAGTCCCTATCCTTGAACTTATTGGATGACTGCATCAATTATTTCGCCGTAAATTGACTCTGCCTGAAGCATCAAAGTGGCAGACAGTAATTTCAGATCCTAAAACGTAAAGGTCTCTATAACAGAGGAAACGATGACGAATTAAGGTAATCCAGATTCAGATTCAGATGATAAGGATAGAAGGCTCTTGTGGCCTGTGTTAATCCTTGCAAAGTATATCTCTGCATAGATCTAACTTCTCTTTGAAAGCGTTCACCGATGGAGCTGATACTACTGAATAAGGTAAGGAGTTCCAATCGTTGACCACTCTGTGAGAGAATCTAAATTCTGCACGTATTTTAATCGTCCTTGGTTTGAGCACCTTTTTGCGGTGACCCCGTAAATGTATCCTAGAAGGGGAGAAAAGGTTAGAAAGGTCAGTTCCTAAATCACCCTTAAGTATACGGTATGCTAAAATTAAGTCGCCTCTCTTCCTTCGGTATGATAACGGGAAGAGATTTAAATGCTCCATCCTCTTATCATAAGGAAGGTGTGAGATACCACTAACTAATTTCGTTCCTACTCTCTGTACTCTTTCCAGAATATGTGCGTCCTTTTTGAAGCATGGACTCGTCGCTTGTATTCAGTATTCTAGATGAGGCCTGACATATGTTGCGTAGAGTATTTGGAACTTGCCTTCGTCTAATCGTTTGAAAGCCCTTCAAATTTCCCACAGCGTTCGAAAAGCTTTAGTTGCGGCTGCATTGCAATTTGCAGTTGTTTTCAAATTATTGCTGACAATAATTCCTAGGTCCTTCTGCTCGTTAACATCATGTAGTTCTGCGTCCCCTAGGGAGTACGACGCATAAGACTTCTGACCTAAGTGCATTACCGCGCTTTTCCTAGCATTCATTTCCAAACTCCACTCAGCTAATTTATCTAAATCAGTTTGTAGGGCCGACCTATCCTCGTTATTGTTTACAGTTTTCCATATCTTAATGTCATCTGCAAATAATAATGAAGATGAAGAAAGAATCCCTGGTAATTCGTTAACGTATAATAGGAATAGCAATGGACCTAATACAGCTCCCTGGGGCACTCCACTGGATACTCCTTTCCATCCTGATAGTACACCGTTAACTCTAACCTTCTGCCTTCTATCCATTAAGTAATCTCTAAACCACTCACATAGGCATTGGTCTAGTCCGAAACCTTTCAGTTTACTAAGGAGACCTAAGTGGGATACTTTGTCGAACGCCTTGCTAAGATCAATAAAAACCACGTCCAACAGATGGTCCCTATCTCTGGCCTCAACCCAGTCTTCCCTAACCAATAGTAGGTTTGTCAAGCAGGATCGTCCTGGTTGGAATCCATGCTGTTCCACAACCAACAAGCCATGTGTTTCAACATAAGCTAATAGTTGATCCCTTATAATAGTTTCCAATACCTTTGCAATAATGCATATCAGACTTACCGGCCTGTAGTTAGATACCAATTGCCTATCCCCGTCCTTGAAGATAGGGCTTATAATGGCATCCTTCCGGTCCCCGGGTAGCTTAGCCTGCGTCAGAGACATTTGAAAAATCTCTGTAAGCGGAATATATATCATATCCGCCAAGGAAATTAACAGCTTAGGGTGAAGTCCATCCGGCCCAGGTGATTTACCTGGCTTCAGTTTAGACAGTAGTATGAGAACCTTTGTGTGCTCTACCACAATTGAGGGCATCTGAGTGGCGATGGCAGTGACCTCGCCATATCCCTGGGTGGTACTATCAGACGAGAAGACGTCACAGAAGTATTCAGAGAGGTTTTCAGCCTTTCCTTCGTCTGACTCAACCGCTTCTCCACTAATGGTTATGATTGACGGTATACCACTGCTAGTTTTAGTCCTACGTTTAATATACGAGTAAAACCTTTTTGGGTAATGAACGCAATCTAGTACTAATCGTCTCTCGTACTCTATACGACTTTTGTTAATCGCATACTTACAGAGGTTTCGAGTTTTGCGGTAGTCTTTCTGGGAGTTTTCCCTTCCTGCCATAACAAATTGGTCCCATAAGTTCTTTCGCCGTCTTAATAACATCCTTATTTCACTAGTGATCCAAGAAGGTTCATGCGACGGCTTTCGAGGAGTGCACCAAGGTATAAAAGGTGAAGCGACACGATCTAGTGTATTCCTAAATCCTACCCAAGCTTCCTCGACATTCCGACTTGTATCAACTGACCAGTCAACCGCAGTTGCTGCGTTCCGGATTCCTTGTATATCCGCTTTCCAAATGTTTGGACGAGCAGATTTTGGCCTGTGCATGAGAGAATGAATCCTAAACGTAAAAGCAATGGCTATGTGGTCCCTAATAGACAAAAAAAGTGTCAGCCATGTCTCGTAAACCGTTAATGCCCAGCTCTTGCTACGCTCAGGCTCACGCTGTCGCTTGAAGTTTCTCAGAAACGCTTAGTATTAACGGACGAAAAAACCAAAACACCAATTGTTGACTCGAGGATTCTTTATTGTTACACCAACATATAAATGACGTATGACTAAGGTCTGTGAACAAATATTACAATAATAAATCATAAGATTACTTCTGACGATGTTTCACTCTTCTTTCTGAACAGCGACCGATGAGACGATGACTGTCGTATTGATGCCTCCGCGAAAATTGGGGAAGTTGATTGTGAGCAAACAACCATGAATTGATCATTCAATCTTCAACTACATTGACAAGTAGAGAAGTTAAAACATAAAATGTGAAGGCAAATGTGAGTGAGAGCCCACTCAGAACTGGTCGAAACCCCAAAATGTTTAATAAGTATATGGAAGTGATTGGATTTAGGTCGATATCAACAGATTTCCCTTGATATTGTAGCGGCGGGTAATTGCCTCTTGGGTCAAATGTACACTGTAATACCTTTGATCGTCGTCCAAACTCCCCCCAACGGCAGAACACACGTAACCGGTCTAAATCCAAGCCACGTTCACTAAAAAACCCTTACTGGTGTTGGTTTAACAATGGTATCACCGATGGCCAGGAAGCGTAATACTGCCGAAAACCTTGTCATTCTGGCAATTTCTCAAAGACTACGGGAAACTCTCCTGCCTGCACGTGTTAGTGGCAACCGTAGCTGGTGGCAGTAGTCACCTACTTTACATTCCTGATGTAACCAACCAGATGTGGCACTTACTTGACAAAGGCGCCGAAGTCAGCGTCCCTCCTGCTACAGCAACAGATCGATAGAAGGAACCTATCTCAAGCTTATAGGCTGCAAATGGAAAACCATTTGCAAACCTTGGTAGGAAATATGTCCATTTGAAGGTGGTTTACGCGAACTTATTCAGTGAATTTTCCTTCTCGCTGACGTCACAATGCCCATCATTGGCACACACCTACTTAGTCATCATGATTTACTCGTAAACGTCCGCCGAAAACGACTGATAAACAGTATTACTAGACAATTTATCAATGGCATCACCTACGTAGGCCGTAGCTTGTTACTCGTAAATAAGAGTGTAATCTTTATTCCAACATTCCAACCGAATCTTGATAAGTACCCGCAACTTAATTGCCCGTCTAACGATCTACCGTGCCTAACCAGCAATGTTATGCATAACATCATAACCTCAGGGCAACCAGTGACATCTAAAGTATGATGACTTGTTATTGAAAATATACGACTCGCTACAAATGAGTTTGACCACATGCTAACCCTTGGCATGATTTGGTCATCGAATAGCCCATGGGCATCCTCACTGCATATGGCAACGATCGGCAACCCACTAGTGATTAACGGCAAGCAAACTCCAAAACAACGCGTGATTGCTACCCATTGCCTCACATTTACGACTTGATGGTGACATTATCTGGTGCTACTATATTCTCGAAAGTGGACTTGGTTAAAGCGCATAACCTAATTTCGAAGGCACCGAAAGGTATTCCGAAAACGGCTATCATTACGCTTTTCGGAGTTTTGAATTTCTACGTATGACATTTGGTCTTCGGAGTGTAGCACTGTCAATCACGTCTCATAAACCGTTAATGCCCAGCTCTCGCTACGCTCGGGCCCACGCTGTTCTTCGAAGATTTCTCAGAAACGCTTAGTTATAACGGACGCAAAAACCAAAACACTGATCTGCCGCTTTAGACTTGTTTATTGTTACATCAACATATAAAAAGAATAAGCGAACTAAGATCTGAAAACAAATATTACAATAATAAATCATAAGATTACTTCTGACGATGTTTCACTCTTCTTTCTGAACAGCGACCGATGAGACGATGACTGTCGTATTGATGCCTCCGCGAAAATTGGGGAAGTTGATTTTGAGCAAACAACCATGAATTGATCGTTCAATCTTCAACTCCATTGACACTCCCCGGCAAAAAAGGGATCCAACCCTTTTTTCCTTCACGACCAATGCACGTTGACTTGGATGCCATTGCGAGAACCTGGGTCACACGGACAGAGCTGAAATGGAAAACAAACAGAAAAGCCAACACACCACAAGCATACCCACAGCACAATCTCACACATCGCTGACGACCTGCACCTCCAGACAGAGACCTCCTCTTGACATCTTGCAACACAATCGACATTTGCTAGAATGACTCTTGCAGAATGCAAAGTGACCATGGCAGGACCTCACGATACTCTACGCACATCCTCTTAATTACTCCTAAACAATTACCATTGAAATCGCTTGTCACTCATTCTGCCTCAGTTCTAG